TGTACTCCTGGGCAGAATTTTCAATATTCATGAACTTCTGCCCTTAGATATGAAGGTCTTCGGAAACTACTTCAAACAGGTCACTGATTTAGGGCTTCCTATTTAGGAGGATTTGGGGTGGCACATGGAAGTTAGGAACGCAGATCGTCTTACTTGAGTAATTTTTGTTGGTGGCTAAGCCCAGTAAGATTCTATTCCTTATGTAAGATACTATACCCCAAAAGGAGGATATAATCTTACTCTATATTGGGTACCAAAGTATTCTCGGCCAGCAGGCGGTCGTTGGAAAGTTTCAAGCCTGTCATTTGCTGGCACAGAAAATGTGGATGTGCATCTTAGAGCACCACAAAGCAAGGCAACAAGAGATTGCCACGCTGAATAATATGGACCTTAAGATTGCTTGCGACGGTCCACGTTTGCCTCTTTGTGTCCACCGCTCGACGTCTCAGCGGCATGCAGTTGAGCAGGGGGGTTCTTCACACTGTTGTTAGAGGACTTGGCATGCGTAGCAGGCTTAGAAGCATAGGTATTCCCGGACGGCTGCCGCGCACTCAGTTGGGACCTGGTCACTTCAGAAGTCTGCAAGTTGGCGTGGGCGGTGTCTGTCAATGTTCGCCTCCCTTTCGAATCGTCAGACATGTCCACGTCACCAGCCGCTGGGATGAGTCTTCCAACCCGCCCTTTCACGCGGGCGGCTTCTGCAAAAGTACTTGGAAATCTTTCCATCTGCACGACCATGTCCCCGGCAAACTCGATATCAGCCGGCCCTTCCATGGGCGCATCTGAAGTGGCAGCAGTCTTTGCTCCTTCACGGCGCCGTTGGCGTTTCAAGATCCGCTTCGCTCGACGAGCTTCCCGCAGCTTTTGAATCTTGTCATCACCAGCAGTATGCACGCTGCCAGGAGCACCTTCAGACTCCGCATGCCGCGGGATGGACGGGGCAGCTGTAGCAGCTACTGGTCGCAACACAGTAGCTGCCACAGCTGCAGCAACCGCCGCCACCGTTCGGCGAGGAGCCTTAGCAATGCATGCTGCTTGTACGGCCGTTGCTACCAATGCAGCACCGTCGCCCGCAGACATCGCCCCTATGGCTGTGTACGCAGGGGAGGCTACACAGCGCAGCAATCGCTTGGGCCTTTGTTGGGTACCAAAGTATCCCCAAACAAACTACTACTCACTTGAACTTGCGCGCCCTTCCAAATAGCTCCACGGTTCACCTAAGTCCTCGGGATGCGAAGCGAGACGGTCTAAATATCCCCAATATACTATTGTAGTTTCCATTTTCTTTATCCCCAAGATCACCCTATCAGAACCCTAATATAACGCAGAATAGTCCCAGTTTCTATTTCATGTTCCATTTTCTTTGCCATGTGACAATGTGGTACTCCATTCTTCCTCTATGCCACTATGAAAAGTCAGTCCTTTTTTCCATCTTGGCTTGTACAGCCTACGCTTTTGCCCTGCCATGCGAAGCTTTGGTGACTACTTGCATGTTCTCGACTAGAGTTCCTCGAAAACGCAACACTGGCCAAAATGAAGAAAAATACGGAAGACATGCAGGTAGCCATCCGCTTTAATGGATGTGACCCAGTCAAGCAATAGTAGTTCTCATGAAAAGGGGACCCCAGTATACATCCCCCCAAGATGCCATACTCCTAATTACCCACAAAAGGTACCCCTGATTTGGGAACCCCTTCATCTCCTCAAATCCTTATTGAATCCTTTCATATAATCATACAACCCTAAAACCTAAACCCTTACACCTATCTTTGGTCACGCCCTGCCGCCCCCTCCCCCCCTTCCCCCCCTAATGGTATGGTTCTAAATCACGAATCAAGTAACCCCCGACCCCCTATAGTAGTCCCCTATATAAACCCCTATTCAACCCCCTTCAGGGAGTTTAGGCTGTAGCTCATATATGGGGATCCTCATGTTGTGGACATCCCGATTGTACGCAAAAGGAAACGTTTTCCCCTTTCAGGTCAACTCTTTTTGCATCTGGGCTTGCGCAACCCTACGCTTCAGGGTTTAGGGTTTACGGCTTAGGGTTTAGGGGCTTAGGGTTTAGGGGTTTAGGATTTAGGGGTTTAGGATTTAGGGTTTAGGGTTTAGAGTTTAAGGCCCTCTGAACAACTGGTGCTTGGACCACTCCGACCTGCCATTGCTTGATAGGGTTGATATGGGAGCCCAAATGGAGCCAACCAAAACTCAGGCCTAATGCTAACTGTTGGTCTCTCGTATCCGAATCCCTAAACACTGAACCGCCTGTTGGGCCTTCGGGGGCGCGTTTGACGGGGTTCTTATCAATGCCCTGGTTTGCAATAGACGCCCGGGTGGGGTCATGATGACACGGACCCCACAGGAGATCCAACAATCCCTCTGCTATCCTCAAATATACAGAGCGCTCTGATTTTGATTAAGGGTGAGCGGGGTTTTTTGAAGGTCGAACCAAGCAAGATTATACTCGTCTTATTGAACAATACACCTGCAAAGATAAGATATGATCTTACTCTTTGTTGGGGACTAGAGCATCCCCATGAACGTGTTACTCTGGCAGCCTCCCCTATCATCTTGAGCGCGAGGAGCAGTTGCCTTGCAGCACGCGCTTCAACCTATTGACTCCAAGAAGACTACTCACAACAAAAGGCCACAGTGTTTCAGATTAGGGGCCCCCACACAGTAATAAGATAATGGGAACAGAATACCAGGACACTCTTAGTGAGTGGACTGCTGACAACAATTGCTGAGACTAGCACTGGCCGATAACCGTTTTATCCTGCTTGAATGCTTGCAAATCGAGACCCTAAAACCCAAACCCTGAACTCTAAACCCTAAATCCTAAATCCTAAAACCCAAAAAACCCAAATCCTAAAACCTAAACCCCTAAACCCTAAACCCTAAACCGACCGAATAGCCCTGTGACTCTGCAAGCGCCGCACGCCTGGAGCTAACTACTGCTTGCTTCAATCGAACCATCTTCAAATAGGCTAGGGTTTAGGGTTTAGGAGCCAAGCTCAAATAGGCTATCACAGTTTAGGGTTCAGGGCTTAGTGTTAAAGTAGAGTTTAGGGGCTTAGAGTTCAGGCTTTAGGGTTTGTGGTGACTATTCTGGCTTCGCCAGATTCCTGGCAGGCAAGATCAGCAGTAGCACTGGCAGTCTTATATGAGCCATTACTGCAAGTCCTACAACTACTAATATTCTGACTACCATTAATGACTGTTAGTAGTAGTACTACTATTACTAGTACTATCCCCCCTAAACCCTCTTGGCTAATCTTCAGCCCCAGTAAAAGTTTGACATTTAGTTCCATTTAGTTCCCTTGGTATGAAACAGACTAGAGGAAGCCTAGAAGCTATGCTACAATGCTTTAAAATTGTAATAAAGTCCGACTAAGCCCCATCCCCTAACTTCTCACTGTTATTCCGAAACCCTCAACCCTAACTCGTCACTGTTTGGCCTGCACCCTGAACCCTAACTTCGTACTGTTATTCCTAAGCGCCGAACCCTAAATCCTAAATTCCTAAGCGATATAGTCCCCCTTACGTAGGTAGAATATGGAATTGCCCTATATCATAAGAAGAAACCCATATCTCCCATATTGTATCTACTTAGGAGGGACCATGCCCTAAACCCTAAGCCCTAAATCCTAAGCCCTAAATCCCAAACCCTAAATCCCAAACCCTAACCCTAAATCCTAAACTCAACATCCTACCCCCTAAATCCTAAACCCTAAAT